TATGTTGCATTTTATCTCATTTTCCATTTACTTTTATCTTTTCCAAAATCGATCTTATGCTAACTGTATCCAGAACTATATCTCTGCCTTTCGCTAGGGAACAAAAGGAAATCGCTGTTTCTGGATTTGCAAAAGAAACAGCATAGAAGGGGCTAACCATCTTGGCACATACCACAGATAAGCCTGTGCCTTTCTGGCATGCCACTTGGATTCCCTTCCTCTGCACAATCTGCTGCTGTGCTTTCTGCTCCCTGCCTTGTGCTTCCTGCTGTATCAGTTGCTCTGCTTTATGCTCCTTCTCTGTTCTGCCGTGTGGCATGCACAGGGGCAGCCTGTGCCACTTCTGGTATGCATGCTACAGATTGGCTACCCTGGCATAGGTTGTCACCAGCATTTTTGATAATATAGCCTATAAGCTCATGACCTCTTGTAGTATCTTCAAGTAAGCACTGAACAAGAAAGGTGACATGCAGAGTCCTATGAGATTTACCTCAGGGAGAGCAGTCGCCCAGCATTTCCCTTGAGACTTACTTGCTAGGAGTGAACAGAATGTCTTCCTTCAGTGCCAGGTTTTATCAAGTCAAAGTACCTCAAAATAAATGCTAGAGAAATTTGTTGAAATATCTTAGAGGATCAAGGATATTTTTATATTGTTTGTTGCTCTATAGAGGGTACCACTACACTTGCAATTAATGCAACTGAATATACTCTGGTTCAGTTTGAGCTGGAGTAATCTAATCCCAACATCACAGTCTACATACGTGTCTAAACACAGTAATTTACTGTGCTGCAGATACCACTTGTATCTGACAGAACTATCCAGTGGTGCAGTAAACTAGTCTACTGCGCAGTAAAGCATCTCACGTAGATGTGCCCAGAGAGTGTCAGCTATTGGGACGAGTGGTGTTTTCATGCTGTGACCAGGTCTGGAACCTAGCTGGTGTCCAAAGAACTTCAGGGTGTGACTTGCTGCTGGATTTGCCCTAACACTATTTTCTCAACAGTTGTACCAAAAAGAATATGTCCTGAAGTAAATGTTTCTGTAAGTTTCAACAACGTAACTATTTTTAAATGCTTTCTACTTTTAGGAGAGTTCAGTGTTTGTGACACTGTCCTATATCAAAATGTTTCATAGTTTCTAGGGTTGGAAGGGACCTGACAAGATCATCTAGTCCAACCCCCAAATGAGATGAATTGTTTTAATAAAACACTAAAAAGGCACTAGGATTTCATAGGCATCCCACTGAGAAGGGATGGGGCCAGAGCGCCAAGTGGTTCTTTTAGATTGTAGTCTTTCACGAATTATTCAAGATGTTTAAAAGATTAAAAAAAATAAAATGAAGGTTTCCATGAATTTCTCTTTCAGGAAGTTATTCTAATGAAAATGTTTCTTTAACTGTAATTTTCTTGGAGAAGAAACCATGCTTCTCCAAGCACCTGCTTGAGAAGCAATTAGCACATTGCAAGCATTAATGTGGTCAGTGTAATATGTGATGATTACAACTGTCTGATCTCTTAAAGAAATCAAGCAATTTCCAGCACATCATGAAGAATGTGTGACTTTGTTTCCCTAACCCTTCTGAGGCAGACCAAACAATGTACATGACTTTATACTACTATCAGGGCTTCCCTCATTCTGCTCTGATTTCTATTTTGGTACAGCAAATTAAACTTTTACATTTCTTACTCACTGTTCATTCAGTATTTGTATAAGTTCTCTCTCAAGCTCTATAAATGATACTTCCTGACTTTTGTAAATAATATTATTATAATAGATGTTAAACCGTATCCCTAAAGTTTGTAGTGTGTAGTATTACTTATAAAATAAGCATTGCTTATAAACTGTGTAGTATTGCTTATAAAATAAAAGACCATTCTGATATCAAACTCAAAAGAGCTTTTTTTGATCAAGAGCCAGTGCCCCTGGAATTTGCTACCTGTGGAAAAAGTGATTTAAAATGAATACTTTAATGAGAACTATAGAATTTAGGTTTCCTTAACTGATAAATCCCACTTTCCTAGCTAACTGGTAAAGCTGTTAACTGCAGAGGACCAAGGTGGTTAGCCTCCCTTAATGAGACCTTCAGTGTGTCATCTTGTAGGTCATCCCAATTACCATGGTGATAGGTGTAGCATTAAACGCCTGCAAATGTAACAACAGCAAACACCAATCAGGGCAAAAACAATATAAGGAAGAATGTGACCTATCTATTGCTGATAGGGTCTTGCATTTACCATTCTCAGGCCATATGATTTACACTATAGATCATAACAAGGTATAATACTACAATTTCCATAAATCAGCAGTTTAGTCTTTGATTTGAACCCGTGGCTTGGCAGTCTCTTGCATGCAGCCTGTATGTAGGATCATAGGAGTGTAGGGCTAAGAGGGACTTCATACGGTCATCTAGTCCAACTCCCTGCTTAACTATCACAGGCAAGGGCATCTCCAACCTGGGCTTGGACATTTCCAGAGATGGAGGTTCCACAACTTCTCAAGGTAGCCTGTTCCAATGCTTGCCCACCCACCTATTCAGTAAGTTCCTTCTAATCTCCAACCTAAATTTCACCTTTTGCAGTTTGAGTCCATTGCTCCTACTCTTGTCCCCTGTGGCCACAGAGAAAAGCACATTTCCTTCCTCTCTATAATTGTTCTTCGGGTATTTGAAGCCCCTTTCAGTGTTTTCTTCTCCAGACGAAACAACCATAAGTCTTGCTTCCCAGGTTGTTAATCATTTTTCTTGCTGTCTGCTGTATTCTTTCCAGTCTATCTGTATTCTTCTTGTGTGGCCCCGAACTGGCCACATTACTTCAGGTGAGGCCTTGCCAGTGCTGAATAGCAAGGAAGAATCACTTTCCCTTGATTTGCCTCTTAATATAACCCAATATTACTGTTTCTCTCTCTCTTTTTTTAACAAGACCATGCGGTCGGCTTTCATTCACCTTATGGTCCACTTTCACTCCTGGATTTTTTTCTTTAGTACTGCATCCTAGCCAGTCATTTCCCCAGTCTGTATTTGTACAAGCAGTTATTCTGTCCCAGTGCAGGACTTTGTCCTGCTCCTTGCTAAATCTTACCTGGTTGTTTGTGGACCATTTCTCCAGTTTATCCATTCTGGATCCTAGCCCTACCCTCCATAGCATCTGCAACTCTATCCCACTTGGTGTTATCTGCAAATTTGCTAACATGATTTCAATCATATTGTCCATTAATGAAGATATTAAACAATACTGGGCCCAGGACAGACCCCTGGGGAGCCCTACTTGATACCTCCTTCCAAGCAGACGTTGAGCAACTGATGACTCTGTGTTGAGCACCAGCCAGTTACGTACTTTCATCTAGTCTATATTTCCATAGCTTGTTACAAAAAAATGTGTGGGAGAAAGTGTTAAAAGCTTTCCAGGTACTGTACTGAGGTTAGGCTGACTGATCTAATTTACCAGATACTCCTTCTTCCCTTTTTTTAAAGATGGGCGTTATCTTTGCCTTTTTACAATCATTCATATGAAATAATCCCCATAGACCCAATAATATCTATGAAATCAGTAGAAGAGCGCATTTTCTCTGTAAAACAGTTGAAAAGCTTAACAATTTTTTGATACATAGCTATTATGGAACCCCATCCAAATCTGTCTTGCATCTATCAAATGAGCAAACAGATAGGTAGGACTTTGTTTACAAATGATTGCAAAATTATATCCTCTAGTCCAGAGTCCCAAATTGTGTTTAGCATGCCCACAGTGACCACATAGGCAGCTTGTTGCCAGAACTGCTTTCCTTATGTATTGGGAAAGCATGTCACGGCCCACACTGCTGGCTGGCTGTGGAGGTAACTCTCTACAGCCACGGTGCCTTGTAGTTTGGCAAGAATACTCTGTAGCCCTTTCTCATGCTCTTTGTGTTTCTGCCTTTTTTCCTCATTCTTTTAAAGTTCTGCCCCAGCAGGGGGTGGGGGCCCTCAGCTGTTGTATGACTAAAATCCTGAAAAATGATATAAAATACACACTGAATATTTTCAGGGAAAAAAAGGAGTCCACTGGAATGCCAGGAGTGTTGTTGTTTTTTTTAAAGCAGTTTTCATATTAATGTACAGTCCCATAAATATTTTTTCTTATAAAGTAAGCCTCATAGATATAATTACAGCTGGTTTGAGATTTGTTGTTGTTGTAGGTTAGCTCTTTGGCCTGCTTAAAAGGAGGTGGAGATCTTACTTTAGCTCCAAGTGGATAAATATTCTTGCTACTCAACTTGCCACCCCAGCCAGTACTTACTGGCACTCTTGGCAGAAAAGGGAAATGGGGCAATTAATCCTCCTGCTTTCTGAGAGAGATTTATGTTGGTGGATTCAGCGGGGAAACTCATGCTGCCGTTGCCAATGCTGCACCTGTTCTATAACTAGTAAGACTTCATTCTTCAGAGAAGTCATTCGTACATCTTTGTCTAGCACTACATTAGCTTAAATATAAAATTAAAAGGTTTTCTTAGGTTTCTGCGTACTGTATTTTACATATTTCAAGGTTTTTTTCTCGCTGTTTGAATTATTTTGATGAACATCTGATTGGTACACAAATACCTATTTAAAATAAATTGCCTTATTTTTTAAACTTTTTATAAAACTTTACAGGCAACCCCCTTTTAACACTGTTTTGATTAGCGCTATTTCACTATATATTGATACCTGATTTCACCTAGTGCTCAGCAAGTTTCGCTATAAAGCTCGCAGTCGCCATCTTGAGTCATTAAAAAGACTTGTGGTTGCCATCTTGGGTCATCAAATATTTTCAGTTTCACTTAATGCTGGTTTCACGTAACGCTTGGTTTTTCAGGAACCAATTAAGAGCGCTAAGCGGGGGTTGCCTGTATATTAAAGGTTGAGATTTACTGTGTTTTTTTCATTAGAAGCAGAAACTAAATTAATGGTGGTATCACAGACTGTTAAGTTTCAATAGGTTGATTTTTGTAATAATTATATTAATGTCATTACATTTTACTTTCTCAGGACTCCAAAGGATGAGATTACAACAGAAGCTCTGAAATATGCTGAGCAACTTCCTGTAGCTCAGATTATACACCAGGTATGTCTTTCTATTTCAAGTACTTTCTTTGAGAAAAAACAGGTTTTCTAATCTTTACAGTGTAATGCTTTTTGTTAGGTTTTATGGATTCAGTGTGCTTGTGCTTAGGCTAGCAGCCCATGAAAGCCACATACCCCTCTTTAGGTGACAACTGTTAAATCATAGCAGTCTTATTTAAAGCATGCTTACCGGATGATGCACCTCACATTGCACCATGGAACTGGTTGTAGCTAAAATGCATACGTCTTCAGTGATTTCCACCCCCCCCCCTTCAAAATATAACTTTGGCCTCTTCCAACATGCATGTTGGCTTGCTTTCTGTCACATGAAAACACAGCCAAACAATAGTAGCATTATCACAGAGCAATTGTTAGAAAGAGTCATACTTCCTTTCTCAGCACAGCTGATTATTACAGCAAAAAATCAATGATGGGGTTTTTGTTCAATATTTCTTTCTAATGTGGGCTGTATTTTAACTGCTGGGCCATTGGGCCAGATGTTGATATTGCCTAAGTGGTCTATTATCTATAGCTGTGGCCTTCAGATACCACTGACTTTGAACTGTGATAGATTAACAAGAGGAAATGGGAGTTCACCAAGTGTCAAAGTTGATTGGAAAATCTCATGAGTATTAATTATTACTGTATATCTTTCCAAATATCTTTGTCAATCAGAGGATTTTATGCAGTTGAATTGCTTGCTGCAGGCAATGCCAGCTTTAGCTTAAAGGAAACATGAGCTTTATTTAAAAATTTTCAAGTGTACAGGCCTTTTCTGCAAGATGTAAACACAAGGGATTTTTAAAACTTTTGGCTTAAATCTGCACCTCTGGGAAGAATATCTGATGTGTTCAGAACATGGAAGATTGGAAATCAGGACCAGTTTGTATGTCAGGAAGTCCCTGGTGTTGTCAGAGCTTCAAATGACCCAACAGCCTGCAAATGTCACATTTAAAATTCTGTCTTCATGCCTGACTCTCAGCATAAATGAATTAAACAGCAGAGCAGGCAGCCAGTCAATATATTTTTTAACAGTGAGAGTTAGCAATGAAACAGTTTGCAGGTTGTTTGGAATCAGTAAATATAAAGTGCACAGAATGGTTCACCTAGAGGAAAATCTGAAACAGGAAACAGAATTAACCTTTAAGATGGTTGACCAGATGAAATGTCATAGTAACATTTTTACAGCATAAAGTAATAACCATGGAGGGTTCATTTGGCTACTGAGCACTGTACTACAGTGGAATACCACATTGTAGAGAGTCAGAAATACGGTTTTCATGTAGTCAAGCTGCCTACTGTAACAAATGCCTACCAGTATTATAGTGCAGACCCAGGTACCTGGAGATGTCTCTCTGGTATAGATAGGCTAGTTGCTCCCGCCTTTTATTTCAGTAGCATGTTAAGAAGAAGGACCTCCTGGTTCACCTGCCACAGGCTGCCAGGGATAGTTCTGGGCTCCTCAAGTACTGTGATTATCAGGGAACTGGGTTTTCCATTTGCTGTGGAAAAATGTGAATTTTCTCCTTTAAAGGAGTAAAAAGCAGGAAACCATAGGTTTGCACATGCAGGTTGGCTGAGTTCCAGCTTGCAGGGGGCTGCTAGGGGTTGGAGGGAACAGAATGCAGGGGGCGCTATATGTATGTGCACATGCACATGGCAGCCAAGCATTGTGGTGGAGAGTAACTCCCACAGCTTCCTCTAGGTAAGTCTGTGAGAAGGGGGGCACAGGCAACAGGGCAGGGGGGCTGAGGTGACAGGGTTGGGGGAATGGGAAGCACAGGTGACAGTGGATGGGGGCAGGGGGTATGTGCCCCCCCCCCCAAGATTTCTGCACCCTGAGTGGGGCGCAGGACTACAGTCAGGCTGAACCAGTTCTGGGCAGGAGTTGCTTCTGCTGCCCAGTGGGTGGGACTCGGCACAGGAGGCAGCTCTGCGCCACCATGCCCGCCAAGATGAGTCACTCTGTCTGCCCAGCAGCAGTGGGGGGACACAACTTCTTCGCTGCTGCCGCCATGCCTCACCTTGGCCGTGGTGGCCTGGCACTGCCTTCCATGCTGGGTCCCACCTGCTCGGCTGCATAGGCAACTCAGGCCAAGATGCACTCTAGCACCAAGCCCCTGCTCCCCCAGTGCATTACCTATGCCCACACTCCCCCTTAACTACACACCCACCCCATTTCCCGTACACCCACCCCCTTCCTCACACTTGGGGCTAGGGATGGGAGGCAGCAGGTTAGGAGTGAGGGACCCTGGCGGAGCCAGAGGGCTGTGAGATGGGAGTCAAGGTCCTTGTAGGATTGGGGGGGGGCCTGTGGCTTAGGAGTGAGGAGCAATGGTATGGGCAGGGGCAGGACATAAGCATATCAGGGCTGCTCAGCACCACAATGCAGTGGGGGAGGGGGCAGGGCAGTCACAGCTGGACCTATATCCCGATGAGTGAAGGGGACATGGAGTGCTCTGATTTTCCACGATAAAAAAAATCGAACACCAAAATATATAGGTATTTAGAATTAGTTTTATTATAATGATTGAGGGACTGGTTGCTTTAAAATTGTAAATATATCAATAAAACACTGTGTTCAGCGGATACCTATATACATAGTGGCATTTCATTTTAATCATGGAAAAATGTGTATTTAGGGTTTTTACTAAATCGGAGAATGCAGGATTTTTTTTTAATCGGAGAATTTCAGATTTTTGAACAGCATGAACCAGGATCAGTGATAATTACTTTAGCGTAGTCTTCTCTAGAACAAATGCCTGACAATTGAAGCACACATAGACTTTGCAGAGATTCCATAAAACACACTTTTTACTGTAGACAGCACAAGAACTAGACAAATCTAAACAAAACAGTGAAATTGCATGCTTTTCCCTGCTCAATTTCCTCACCATTCTTGAGTGTTCTTTGGGCTGAGTTCAGAGTCCCCTATGGTCGTCTTCTGCATATGACTGCTGCTCCAAATCATGGAGTCCATCTTTTGCTGACCCTGCGGTCAGTGTTTGTTTGCTTTCTAAAAAAGCTCCTGAGAGATCTTTTCTCTTACAACAGTTCTCTTTTGTTTGGATATCTCCAAATCAGCCTTGTAAGATGATCATAATCTTTCATTGAATGTTTAATTGCTTAGCAACATTTACCCTTGGAAAAAAACTTTAAATGCATTGGTTGATAATCTTCTCTTTGTCCAAAAGTGAATCATTTGAATTAGATGGTCTTCAAAGTTTTAATAAACCTCCAGTACAGTAGACCCCCAATTTGCACGAGTATTGCATTCAGGGGGAATTTCGTGCAAGTTGAATTCGCGTAAGTTGGGATGACTTTCCCCACAGGAAATAACAGAATAGTGAGGGGTTGCGTACCCCAGACATACCTTAGTCATAGATTTTTTTTCCCCTTTTCTCAGTGGAATCGCCTTTAAGTGCATCTAGTGTCTCACCTATGCATCTTGAGATGACACTACCGCAATGGCAGTACAGCTCTGCTGGATTCTCCATGCAGATCTTTTGAGGCATTCATGTATATTTGCAAATCTTGTGAGTGTTTGCATATATATGTGAATGATACGCATCTTGAGGGGCATTTTGCAGTCTGGACCCTAATAAAAAATTGCGTAAACACGAGACGCTCGTAAGTCGGAATCGCGTAAATTGGGGTCTGCTGTATTAATCCTCTAAATAGGTGCAAATTTTCATCTGTATATCAATATGAAGCCTAAAGACCCCATAGAAAACAAACTCCAGACTCCAAATGGAGTGGACATTCTGAAATAAGCATAGGAAGACTTGTTAGCATCAAACAGATTGTATAATCTGAATTTAGATGTCTTAAAGCTGTCAGTGCTGGAGAATGTTTTAATTATCTAAATAGATAGCTGTCAGCTAGAGGCAAGTAGCCCCAGCAGCCTTACCTGGGGTCCTGAGGGCCTCCTGGGGCATAGCAGCAGCGATCCTGCCACTCAGAGCCTGGCCAGCAGCCATAGCATGGCTCCAGGTTTTGAGCAGCACACACTGCCCCCACGTGCGCCGCTCCACTTTTTTTTTTTTTTCTTTTTCATGGGTTCTTTTTGACCCCTGGATATCCACATACCACAGCTGAACGTGTGGTATGTGGCACCGCAGATATGTCTGTGGCTCCATGTACCACATAGCTGCGCTTGTCTGGATGCGGCCCATGAGTGCAACCACTGATTTGTTGCAATTAAGGCATGTGTATGCTCCTGTCCTGCAATAAGTAGAAGCTGAACTGAAAATCACCTTAGAAAGAAACATGCTAAGTTAATCAGGTTTAATTTTCACACACTCCTAGATCAGCGTTTTCCAACTGGCGTGCCATGGCACACTGATGTGCTGTCGGACATGTCCAGGTGTGCTGCAGAATCTTGCGGGGAGCGTGGCTACTGCCACTGCAACCTGGCCGCGCCTGTGCCGGTTATCCCCCGCCCCCCACTTCGCATTTGGCAGCTCACCACTGCCCCCCCGTTGCTCCACGTTTGGTCGATGTGCCGTGGGACAGAAAAAGTTGGAAAACACTCTGCTAGATGGAATTAATTTGAAGAACAATTATAGTTGATCAGTTTGAAACTAAATCCCACACCTTCTAAATGGATATAATTGGTTAATCTGCCCATCTATTTTGTTCATGTCCTATGTACCATTACATTTCCTGCAAAATTTCCTTAAGTCTTTAAAACTTGATTTCTAGCATGCTCTCCAATTTCTAAACCATGGTAATGTGGTAACCAGTAGAAACCTCTTTGATTTCTAATGTTTGCTCCATGAGAGCAATTCAGGTACAATAAACACTGTGTTTATTCCATCAAAAGAAAATAAAAAACTATCTAATTTTCAGTTCAATACTGGGTTTCTTTTATTAGTAGTAAAAATAAAGCAACAGCCTTCCCAAAGAGCTTCCAGGTCTAAAGTAAGAGTCATGTTAAACTTGATGTGTTAGACTACAGTTAATTTAAATATCCAAAAGCACAAAGAAATGAAAAGAGAA